AAGCACTACAGCGCCACACTAAACTACGGTAATTTATGGTAAACAAACAAGTTAAATATACGATAATTTATTTCTCCGGACAGAACAAGTGACATCATTATTCTTGCTTCGTTTAACGAGCCATTTTATTTCTCAGATACAACTTCGAATATTACGATGATTAATTAATAATAAGTTGGAATGGATATGGAAGGAAACGGTCGTGGCTTAATATAAGGAATATATTATCTCGGTATTTGCCTTGTGATACTGAGTAAAGCCATGAGGAGCCTCAATGGGGTATCCGGTCTCGAGACCAGGATATGAACTCCGGACCGACCTCAACAGGAACCACTGCCAGTCACTTAACCGCGGTGGCTGGTCGAATAATTAATATTCATATTTATGGCCTACGCCAGTGTATTCTTGCTAAGTCATTATATCCAAGTATTCTAATGTATACTTATTATTTATCTGGTAATGATATACAGAATTTAATAAAAATTAAAGATATATAGTAGTAATTCATTTAAAACCAACTGAAACTCATGTGAAAATGGACCAGTTTCGTAAACGTGATGATTATAAATGACACTGGTTAGCACTCCTGCTTCGTATTCATAAGGGTCGTGGTTCGATTCTGAACTCGGCTGTCGTGAGGATTTTATGTTTTACCTCAGTCATTCGAAGCAACCGAGGCCAACTTTAAAACAGTCGCCATATTCCATTCAGTCATCTGAACGGTTGAACCATGTGTTTGAGAAGCGTTCACAGTCATTCTGTCACGAAACTGTAAATGTCTTGAGCAGTTTAAATGCTGTCATTAAATAATCAAATGATCAATTAGTGAAATGTGTTATGAAGCAGCGAACACAAGGAATTTTAAATTAAGATACAGGAACAATCGTTAAATTTGGAGAATGTCTAGTGACTTGCAATAGGCTAAGGCAGTGGGATTCAACCTTTTTTGTTCGCGTACCCCCAGATATAATTTCTCTTCAACTTTGTACCCCCAAAGTTGTTGGTGTATAATTCAAGTTATACTTAGTATATAATCTACATCTAAAATAAATTAAATAAATTACATTACTGATTATTCAGTGTTTATCATAAAATAATATATATATTTAAATTTCACGTACCCCCTAAGATGTCTTCGCGTACCCCCAGATATAATTTCTCTTCAACTTTGTACCCCCAAAGTTGTTGGTGTATAATTCAAGTTATACTTAGTATATAATCTACATCTAAAATAAATTAAATAAATTACATTACTGATTTTTCAGTGTTATCATAAAATAATATCTTTTTTTAAAATTTCACGTACCCCCTGAGATGTCTTCGCTTACCCCCAGGTTGAATACCACTGGGCTAAGGCCATATTTACTTCAGGCAGGGACTCCTAACTGCTTTGCCATAATGTTCTTCATCGATATACAGATAATTCTAGTTATACGAGTTTTCGTATATCCTAGGTTTTATTTCAATGTTATGAGCGTCAGTATCCTATCGGAGGCCAAATTTTGAAGCCTATTACAAGCTTCGAATCTTCTCCAAGCACATGTGATCCAGATGATTAGCTCTGACGTGAATTTAACATCAAAATGGAGATTGTTATTCCCATTTTACGTTTACAGGTGCAGCAGATGGCTCTGCAGGAGACACGGCCATGACGGAGAGAATCCGCGAAATATGAGGCCCGCAGGATGCGCTGTGCCGATGCGCGGCGTCCTCATACTCCAGTGGCTCCTCCTGTGGCGACTGTCGCAAGCTGACCACCCGATTGTCACGATCAGCAGACAGTATAAGGGAGATATGTTCACCGCCGAGGGTAAGAACTTTCTGCTACTCGTGGTCCAACTCATTCTGTTTCACACTACGTTCGTTGGTGCTCACCTTTCTCTCACCATTCGTTCCCCTTCTCTGTCTTGCATGTCTTTAAAAAAATTTGATTTTCATTTTCTAACGTTTCTTTTTCTTGAGAGCTCTACGTACGAGTATTGTGCCATACGTCTTCTGAATGATGTTAAGCCGAATACAGTAGAGTCCCGTCTCATCCGACGTACCGTGTTGGAACGCTCCATTTTATGATCAGTCAAATCAACACGTGGCGGAAAGAATCACACTTCCCCCACCACGCACTTTTACTATTTTTATTTTCGAGATTTCTTTTATTTTATACCAGAATGTATTATCTTCGTAATTTAATACCGCATTTTCCAGGAAAAAAATATGCACATTTTAAAATTTGGTTTATGTCTTGCATTTGTTGACGTCTAAGAATCGATATGGCATCTATTTCTGAAAACTCATTTCTAAATCAAGGGTAAGTCTTATAATTGGCAGTGTCTTCAAATCGAGGGAGTACGATAATATAATAAATTTAGTTGATATATAGGATAAGTCCAAAGTAGCTGGACACCTTTGGAGAACTGTAACCGTGTTACCTGCAGCCAAAATGCGCTGATATCAGCTGATATCTGTAGAGCGTAACCTCGAGTTTCGTTTGTTTACTGTAATTCTTCACATTTCCGCTGAGAGCGCTAGTAAATTGTGGGAAACAAAATGGAGTCTTATAGTCGTTCGTAAAGTGCAAAAAGGCCGTCCTTCTTGTGTTGCAGGGTTGTCTTGCTCCAAGGAAGTGTGTGCGGGTAGCAGCAGTGGAACCGCAGGGGTCGCTGAGAAGAAGGACTGCGCATGTCAGTGCCTGCCTCACCTCCCCGTCTTCAGGGACGACCTACACATCTGCATCGATGACATTCACGGTAAGACACTGCAGTTCTCATTCGAGCTGTTCGGCACAAACGATTCAGAACGTATTTCTTGACGTTATTAATCATTATTCTTCTTATTTTGGTACCAGTCGTTGCATTTTCTTGAAATAAACACCAAATCATAGTAGAATTACGTCATTGTCATTTGTCTTTTTGCGAGAAGAATGTTTTAGGATCATTAAATGTTCCTTCGTGATGAGTAATTTGCCCCCTGTTTATCAAATTCATTAAGATGAAATTGTTTCTATTCCTATGTCGAAGTGGAGATTAAGATTAGATCTAGAAGCAAATGTTCTTTAAGGAATTTACCTTTTTTTTTAAATGTTTAAAACCGGCTTCTGCGTGTTTAAAATTTGTTTCGAGGTACGGTAGGACTTCGTGTTGACTGTATAATTGACTACTTCTTCCTCAGGAGTGCGTAGGTGTCGAGTTTCTGTTGTAGCACATAATTAGACCCAACTTCCAGTCTCAGGACGTGTTATCGCTGGGGGCTGTTGCTAACTGCACATGTGGGATGTGTCCCACTTGTTGATAATGGGTGCTGATCATGTAATTGGAATTATTGTAAGTTATACCACGTCGTAGAAGTCTTACAAAGATTCAGAGTTACAGAATCAGGCCATTTATTAAAGAGTAACATTTCAGACAGCGTAATCCTTAAAATATTAAGAAGACAGATGAATTTATCATCGTCATGACGTCATAGGAATCTCTCTCTGATATTTATACTTCAAAGCCATTTATATAATTTGACCTTGGAATTTGAAAATGTGTACACTTCCGTGGCCTTTCAATAATTTTCGACAAATTGATAAACTTCTATGAAACTTCTGTTTTAATACTTTCGATAATACCAATATGATGGCCATTGAAGCTTAGTAGATTTCCCATAAATGATGATCCCGAAATTTTTACAGCTTTTGTTAAAATTATATTTATGTTTAATGGAATCAGCAATGTGACAACATTGATGGCCAAAACTGACTAATCTCTTCAAGGAAAGATATAACATTTGCTATGAAACAGCGTTTATGCTTGTCATAATAGGTATATATCACACTAACCTAAAACTTTGAGGTTATGAACAATAATTTTCGAGTATAAATAAATTGTAGCATTATCTTTTAAAATTCCTGCGTAGTATTCAAAATCACCATCGACAGCCTCCCGTGAAATTAGGTCCACGAGTCGTACGTTCCTGTCAGTAAACACTTTGTTACTTTGTTTAACTTGGGCTCAGTGCAAAGTTACTTGATATAACCAGGAAATTCCAGCGCCGCGCCCTGTTTACGTCGTACAAGCGAACTTCTGTTACGATGTAGTCGGCTGCATTCGCGATGTTTCGGTGCTTACGGACAGGTGCACCAACCATACGGGAATGAGACAAAGCTTCATTGCAGACCGCTAATCACGTGTTACATGCAGGGATGAATAGAGCCATTATTCGAGGAAATGTTGTTGAATGCGCAACGCGTGATATGCAACGGCTACGCAGATTCTGCATGTTACAAACTGTTACCCTGTCAGTCTACTGTGCCGTAACTCACAACTGATTATATGTCTGCATACAGCTGCTTAGCAGTTTTAATATTTTCACTGTGGCTAGATTGATTCTTCGTTTATTTAACAACGCTTTTAATTACATGAAATAGATTATTATACTGTACATTATAAACTATAGCCACGGTGGGCTAGCGGTTAGAACGCTGGCCTTGTAATCCTGGGGTCCCGGGTTCAATTCCCGGTGGTGCTCAAATTTATAACTTGTGTTGGGCAAGGCCGTGGTCTAGGCAACACGGAGTTTTCCTCCGTGGCATCCCAACAATTACTCCATTCACACACAGAAGAAGGCATTGGCAAACCACTTCTGGATCATCTGCCAAGAACGTCTGGTCGATGTTTACCAACGTTTCTGAGGTCATACTGCCTCCGTCATCAGGGCGATGAGTATGAAGATTTCTATCTTCTGGGTTGTTGCGCTCTGCAGACTGGTCGATGTTTACCAACGTTTCTGAGGTCATACTGCCTCCGTCATCAGGGCGATGAGTATGAAGATTTCTATCTTCTGGGTTGTTGCGCTCTGCAGACTGGTCGATGTTTACCAACGTTTCTGAGGTCATACTGCCTCCGTCATCAGGGCGATGAGTATGAAGATTTCTATCTTCTGGGTTGTTGCGCTCTGCAGACTGGTCGATGTTTACCAACGTTTCTGAGGTCATACTGCCTCCGTCATCAGGGCGATGAGTATGAAGATTTCTATCTTCTGGGTTGTTGCGCTCTGCAGACTGGTCGATGTTTACCAACGTTTCGGAGGTCCTTGCTGTCTCCATCATCAAGGCTTCTCTTCTACCAGACTTACACACAACAATCCAGAAGACAACCATCGAGGGCCCTGCTAAGTTTATGTTACTTAGTTACTATATACACTTACTTTCGCGTACTACGATCTGGGCTGTTTTAAACTTACAAAATCTTCTTGTTCAATATGCGCAGGTTACATTACTGGTATTTAGTAAATACAGGAACGTACTTAGCCGCCAATAACAGCGTGTTGTCTTTAGCCCGGAAATGAGAGAAATGCCTGCTTCGAGGTACATGCCGATCACAAACACAACAGCCATAATCAACCTCAGATGCAAAGTACCGCCATAATCGTTAGTAAAACGACCACTGCATCGGAGAGACGATTATCGGTTTAGGACAAGGATCGCGTTGTGCCACGTTTATGGGTTTAAAAGCCGTGGCGATTTATTTAAACACTCTCAGCAGTGTAATGAAAGGTGATTATTGTCCGAACGTTTTTGTCGGTATATAGTGGGAGATGCTGCAGTTGAACTGTAATTTTAATATCTCGTAATAAAGGCGACAGTATGGTTGCGTCTTCATCTAGAGGCGGAAACAGTGACTTTTGATCTCGCATTAATTTCGCAAAAATGCTTCGAATTTTACAAAGATGACATTATACATTGAGCGATGATACGTTTAAAGCTGGTCACAGACCTAAAATGGCCGTGTTCTTACCCGTCGCTGTTGTGATAACCTCAAATATTACGAGTCTCGAAAATCAAGCAGCCTCTGGCTTCGGTTCCAGGTTTACACTGACCACACCCAGTAATTATTGACTTTAATTTTATAATTCGTAACGACTCATCATTTCTGCACTTACGAGGTGCGATCGGAAAGTTTCTAGACTGCGCGTATAAAAACCCGTACACTTATCTCAGGTATTAAATTCATCCATCACCCTCGAAGTAGTTCCCCTGGGAGTGAACACAACGATCCCA